AACAACCTCGGATCGTTGACTCGTAGAGAGATAGAAAGAGAGAGAAAGGAAATCAAGAGGGTCGATGCTACCGTTTTCTGGGACGCGGTGATATTCGATCGCACGGCTTGCTACTTTTTGCCATCTAACCGACAATTGTCGGCTGGTGCTCGGACGCGAATAGTAGCGAGAGAGGCTTGACAGAATAAGAAGTCGCAAACACGGTTGGGGCATCACCATCGAGCGCCGTTATTGCACTCCACCGTGCTTTCGGCGGCGAAGTTCGGCTGACAAATCACGAGGTCCTGATAAAGAGGCCACTTTGGCCCCTGCACTGACCGTTCCGATTCGCCGGCCAAAGAACCGCTCGACGGCTGAGAGATTTGCGGGCATTCATGACGGGCGCACACCGGGGCTTGAACGCGGAGACGCGAGGACCCGTACAAATGGACCGGGTTGCCTTTTTTTCCCCATAAATCTTTCTCTATTCTACCATGGTGACCGTGGCGCGCTACTATCCTCGGCCGCGAAGGATCGAAGGGTAACAGGAGCACGCGTTCATCATGTCCATCTATTGTAGAACGACCTATCCTCTTCCTCCTCCTCGGTCTGCCGGAGAAACGAGAGTCCGTTCCATTTAAGAATGTGCTTACGGAAACAAGCCTGGGTAATAAAAACAACAACGGGAATACTGTAATGAGCAGCCCTGCGAAGAATGTTCTTGGGTCTATCCCTCGGCTGCCACTCCGTCGTGAACTTCTTTTCTTCCCGTCTTTTACGGGCGCTCGCGTGGGAGTTCTCATTAAAAATTTATATATTTTGACAAGACGCTGCTCTCTAAGTTCCTTTGAGTGAAATCTCACTCGAAAAATAAAGTTACCACCGAGTTGCACAAATTCTAGTGATTTTTCAATTGTATACAGTGAATTTTTCACATTCTCTGAATCGTCGAGTGAATATTTTCACTCGAAGTTGAAGAGCGAATCTGATGTATCCCGCCGTCACAGGAAGATATTCGCTCCAATCGATTGAAATATTCGCTCATATGGAGTCAAAATCCACGCAAAGCTTAAAAGAAACATACATTCTTGCTATTTCGAGTGGCAGTATTTTCACTATCGCTTCTGGTGAAAATATTGCCACTTTTCACTTATTTTGAATGAGATTTTACTCGAAGAAATTTAGAAAGCACATGTGCGCATTACTGCATGTCTTTCATCTGGAAATTAAAAAAAAAATCATCTCGCTGCTTAGCGCAGTGACTTTTCTCATTATTCGTCTCTCTTTAGTTTCTCTTTTACACAGAAAAAAGTTTCTTCGGATTTAGTGTACATGCTTGTTTAATTTGGGTTTGTTTAATACAAACAATTTAATATCAAATATCATTTGTTTTGAATGAAAATGTTGTTATTTTACCAAAGTAAATTATGTTGTTTGATAGAAACAATATTATTACAGGAAATAATATTCGGTTTTTCATAAAAATAATTTGTTTTAAATATTGTTTCACTGAATGATAATATTGTTTTTATATATTAAATATTGTTTCACTGAAACAAAGAAGTTCTTTAACATTTTCCTAACATAGTATACTTCTTTCAAATCATAGCATACTTTTTTCATCTTATTGCTTGTAGCAACTATTATAAATGTTTGGATGAAAATACAAAATAAATAAGATGTAAAGATATTTATTGTTTGAAAAACCGAACATTCCTACTTTTTTAATCGAATTCATTTATCTGCTCCATTCCAAGAGACAAATTTGTCTCAATTGCAGAAATTTTATTAAATCCATAGAAATCTTTTCTCTGTGTAAATATTCCCGTCCAGGCGAGTCGAGGCGCTTCGGCGGGCGTCAAAATGTTAATCGCGAGCGTTGGTCAGTCTCGCTGATGTATCCGCGCGATAATAAGAGACGTTCTCTCGAAGAAACCATGAGGAACATAATTCGTCGTCCGTGTGGACTTAATTGAAATTCATTCTGTCGCCCGAGCTTCTCGCTCGCGCGGCATATACGTATCAACGAGCATTACGAGCTGCCTCACTCGTCGCGAAGCGACATTATGTCTCGCGAGCAGGAATTAAATTTCGCGCAGTCACTTACGGTGGACGACGCTCACCGTGAGGTTAGGTCACCGGCCGAAATTCGTCTTTGTTATTTCCGCGTCGGCGGAAATTAAGTCAGAACTGTCGGCCGAAGAGGAGAATGTGCTAGAGGAGTCGCATTAGCGGGTGGATAAAATGCGCATGTCGCGGTAGGCACGCGCGTTAAATAGACGATCGAGAGTAGCACTAAATATATTACGAGTATTTCTGTGTACGCTCGGTAGTGGTCACTCGGTTGCTCACTATCATTTTAATACATAGCTAGTGTCTCGCTGGCTTCCGAGAGGATCAGTGGCATTCGGAACGCACAGTCAGATGATTAAATATATGAGTGAGGAACACTTAAGGGGTCTTATTCTGGATGTATAACGAACTCTGAGTGTGTTCTTTTAATTCCAAGTTTCGTTTTTCTTATAATTATATGAATATAATTACCCAACGCAACAGTTGATAACTGTTGTTTGTAACTAAAGTATAAGCCGAAGAAATTCGTAGGACGCATGTATGCGCGCTCAAAGTCAACGCCGATAGCAATTTTGCGTCCACAGCACTCAAGAGATTTAAAGGTCGTAACACTTTTCCTCGATGAGTTTCGCAATGCATCCCGCGTCCAATAGGAGGAAATCTGTTTTTTTAGTCATTCTCAGGAGATACATTTTCCTTGAATACGGGTTACGCGTTACGAAACTCATCGACGAAGAGTGCCGCAACTTTTAATCATACGTGTATGAATCTATGTGTGTGAATTTCGTCACGACGCCGAATGAGATTGCGAACATTCGCTCACTCTTTGGCTGTTGCAGAACGAAACAGTCTTACGTACACAGAAAAAAAATATTTCTTTGGTTTTAATAAAATAAACAAATTTATCTTTTGGAACGGAGCAAACAAACAAATGTTTGATTCAACAAATGGGATTGTTTGATTTTTTAAATAATAAATATCTTTAATAACATATCTCTTTTGTACTTTCATCATTACGATGATTGTCATAAGTAATAAATTATTTGAAAGAAGTAACACTACGTTAAAAAAATGTTAAAGAACTTTTTTTGTTTCATGAGACAATATTTAATATGTTTCCTCTAATAATATTTTTCTACCAAAGCCACAGCATGGTTTACTTTAGTGAAATAACAGTATTTTCATTCGAACAAAATAATATTGATATTAAGTGTTGTTTATATTAAACAAACTACAGTCAAACAAGCACGTATACTAAATCTAAAGAAACATTTTTCTCTATGTATCGAACGCGGAAGACGCGCGAACTGGATCTCTCGACTAACCATCGTGGCGTCGCATTGACTGGACGTCAATTCGCGTCTTTTTGATAATTATCAGCAAACGGACGCGGTAATGCGGTTCTGATGGAGATGTTACTTCGTACGCTGCGCATCCCGGATGAGATAAACGGCAACGATTCTCCGGGAATTTCGAGTGGAGGGGCGTGCTAAACGTATGGAGGCACTCGAGCCACGCTCAAATTAGCGGGTACCCCGCGAACCATCTGGTCAGCCGGAAAGGAGATTAATTTAATTTGCATTTAATCAGCGCTCAATCTTCAGCATGAATATTCAAAGCCTCCTTTCCGCTCTGCCGCGACGTTTTGCCCGCTCCTGCGATCGACAAAACGCAGCCTCCGCGCGCTAATATTCATCGGCGTGTATACTTTGTTTGTCGTGTCTGTCTTTCTTGCCGTTCCTTCGTTCTCATTGTTCGCTCGTCTCCCCATTCGCCCGTGGCTGTTCGCGATCACCGACGCGATTATGAATTCGCGCTGCGTGACGGGCGGGCGCAATTCCGAGGGCTGGTCAAAGCTGCGTGATTGCGCCGTATTTTTTTCGGGGCAACACGCGAAATTCCTCTTTTACCACGGTGGCGCCGCTTCGCGCGGTTTTATGCAGTCTACGCAACGGCGCGGCTTGATAAAGTTATTGTTCCCTTTGCATTTTGCGCGCGCACGATCGTTGTAAAAACGCTCCGAAATAACGCGAGTGCATATTCGACGCCTCTGGCGAAATACAATCGGAGAAATTGACGTTGCATGTTACCGCGAATGTCCCGTACGGCGCGGAAGAACCTTCTTTAATCTCCGCGAGCGTAATAAGCCGCACCGGTACGAGCCGCAATTACTCGTGCACTCTAATACGAGAGATAGAGAAAGATAGATATAGAGGGAGGGGATCTATAAAGAGAGAGAAAAAGAAAGAAACAAGCGATTCGTGGCCATTCGTAGTTGGCTGCAACTTACTCCGTCGAGCGGTGGGGCTAAAAAAGGGGGAAAAAATAAACGGGCAACTTTGTCGTTCGCTTTTGTCCTAGGGCCGAGGCTGCGCCTTCGGGGCAGCTCATCCTCTTAGTGCTTCGTTAAATATTCACGAGAATCTCCGTTTAAGCGTGCGTTACCGTGAATCGCCGGCGCCGAGAGTCCTCGGCGAGCCGGTACCACCGTGGAGTTCATCCGGCGACGCTGTCGTCCCCGGAGAAACGCATTGCCGTCGACGTCGCGACCTTTGGGACAAAGGGCTCGTTAAGATTTCCTCGTTGGAAATCAGTGCACTTCCGGTTTCATTAATCTACCGTCACGAACGCGGTCGTCGGGTCGTCGCGATTAAACCTCGGATAAAGGTGGCAAGTGGCCGTGCCTGCCGCGTTGTTATCTGAAGCGCGTGCGGTTTCCGCGCGAAAGTTAATATGGGAGTTACATATTTTTCGACGGAGCGATGGATACCTATATATACGTCGGCGCACACGAGAGCTAAAATAAATTGACGCGGAAAGTTCCCTCCGCAAGTTTCGTCCATTATGCCGCAAGAGGTGAATTTCGCATCGCAGACTCGAGAGCGCGAGGAGGAATAAAGTTAATCGGGCGTAATTGTTGCTCGTCGTATATTTATTATTATTTAATTTCACAAAATTTCCTTCTGGTCCGCCGCGTCCGGAGTCGTCGCGTCGTCGTCGTCGTCGTCGGCCTCCACGGTATCTCCGTCGACTTCCTGGGAATCAATATCCTCCCGATATCCTTGCTCCTTCTGCACCGGGCCATCGGTATTTCGGTCGATCCAATCACCGGTGCGAATTCCACTGCGGAAATCGGCGAGGCCGACCGAGCTGAGCGCCGTATTAAGTTTTGACAGGACGTTATCGTAAGCCGAAGGCACCACCTCGTCGGTTATCGATACGTCGCTGTACTGCAACTCCGGCAAATTAGGCTGGTACTGCTCGATCGAGGCGCCGTAATCGGCGTAATCGACGTAATCCCCGTTTCGCTTCACCAAGATGTTCCACGGCCCGTAGAAGCCGCGCACCCCGACATTTTGCCAGATACTCCTGAATGGTACTGTGTCAACATTACAAATGTTCTCGTTACTCGAGGGGCTGAAGCGATCATCTCTCCTCGTAATTTACGAAAACTCGGGAGATTGCCTCGGAAATAACGCCGCGGATGATTTTCGACCGAATGTCAGTCCTCGAGGATTTATTGCGGGATGTTATATCTGCGTGTCTCATATTTCTCTCTCTCTCTTTCTCTCGCGTTTGGAAGTATATTGTACAACTTGACACGCTTATATCTCATTTTATGATTGAACTTTTATACATGTTAACCGAGACATTTTCTTTTGGACACACGTGTCCCATTGAATTTCAGAGTTCCTGTAACTCAGCGACAAAGTTCCCGAGTCTGTAACATATATTACTTTTTTCTAACATATCGTCCCCCCCCCCCCTTCCCCGTACATCTGGGCGAAAGTTTGCGACTCACTTAATTCAAAATCCCTCGTAGGCGCCGGCGACACCTCGATCGTTGCGACGAGAGCGAGAAGGAGCCGGACGGAGCTTTGCGGTTTCATTGATAATTGATGCTCTGTTACCTCTCGGTTTATAGCTCGCACTGGCTGTTAGAATTCCACCCTATCGCTTATATGCGGTGTTGCTATGGTTAACACGTGAGCAAATATTTGACCGCGAGTTTAGCGGCAAGTGGTGCGTCCTTGCGGCAGTTGTAATCTTCCGCAAGAAACGTTCGACTAATTATTGTTTACCCGCTTACCGGGATCCTCTTAAGCCTCTTAAGCCAACTCAGATGGTGTGAATCTTTGAGGCCACCACGGCCTTTTCGGAGCTCGCGAACTTTGTTAGTGGGCAGTGTCAAAATGTTGACTACATTCGATCGCGTATTGTCGAATAACGAAACGCGCAGATGAATCGAAGAAATATACCGCCGCTGGTACAGGTAAAAAATGAAGAGGCAATGTATACGATTGTTTATATATTACAAATAATAAAAAAATAGTAAATTAAGTACATGATGGGAAAACACAGTAAGTAGTACATGATAAAAAGCGGCAAGTAATAAATGACAAATGGTAAATCTCTTCGACGTGACTGTCTGTCAGCTCGGGTTGGCAAAGTTTTTCGGGCATTTCCAGATCTCGCCGACGTCTTGAACAGCTCTTCTTCAGCAGGTTTCTTTAGCGGCCCCAACCGGCGCTGTTGAAAGAAATAATTTTTTCTTATATTAATTTCCTCGTGCAATTTTAGTTCCACTGATTATTTTCTGCCGGCTTTATATTCGCATACGCTCAGAGAAGTATGTTTGACCGAGAAATGATCTGGACTTTTTTCAAAGTTACAAATTTCGTGTTACTACCGGGACCTTCTCCAGAAATGTTATTTTTTTCATAGAGCGCGTTTTTAATTAAAATCTGCATAATTTCAATTTTTTATTTTACCCGACATTAACATAGGACACTCTAGACGATCTTCGCTTCGTGTCTAGAGCTTGACCTCCATTAACGATCTCGTCATTGTCGTCGTAGAAGGGTCTCCTATACCAGAACAATGGAAATCCGTAGTATACAGCGTCTCTGTCAGACAATCCCTCTTGACTGCCTGTAAGATGAAAATTATGACATTAATTACGCGACATTCTTACTCGTATTGTTCACAAAATATATGCCGGAAAGAAGGAAAATTATCATGATTTAATTTCATTCTTAAATTTGCGCTGACTTCTTGAACTTTTCGCCATCATTTCCATTCAAAAGTTTTCTCGAAAGTTTATATCTCATCGACTGTCAGTTTTCCTTATCTTCGTCCGGGCTACGAGTTTTTTTCGTAACAGCCACGTTAATTCTCAGGCACGAAATTTATCTTTCCTAAACAAAGCGCAATGTGTCGTGGTCCTCGATTCGCGAATTCCACTCGCTGCCGCACTCGGGATCGCATTCGAAAATCGACGATCGTTCGGAATCGCCGGGCGGATGTAATTGCTAATCTGGTGACGAAGACTTGACGCTCACTCACCGTCGTCAAATTGAGGAAACGGCCGGGCGTTAACCAAGTTAAGCACTGCGAAAACAATTGCGAGGTACATCACGAATCTCATTGTGCCGGCGGCTCCACCGGACATAAATCGTACTTAATGCGCGTTGAAGTTCGTCTGAATTGCGACGCGACGTTTTGTCGCTCTTATATACAACCACGCACCGCCGTCGTCCTACGCGTCGCCACGGCTCTTTCGATCGGGTAACAAGCGAGACGTTAATTCGAAGACGCGACTCGAATGACTAATTTCGCTAACGCACCTGGCAAATGGGAGCGCTCCGCGAGTGGCGCATTCGTTATTGCTCCTTACGCATAAAAATAAACGTAACAGCACACCGGCAGCGGGAATTTCGCGCCACCACTAAGTCAGTCGTCTCCGTTGGTAAGCCGTATTCCCGACCACTCTCCATCTCGATAATTTTTCCTCGCCCGCTCCGTCCCAGCGAAGTGTACCGAGCGCATTAAGAGAGCCAGCGGAGTTCGTCATAATATTTTCGGCCGATGTTTTCGTTTATTATGAGAAGGGATGACACACGCGCGTGTCGTACACACGGAAGCGTCAGCTTCCATTTGGGCATCGAGATGCGCAATTGTGTGTTATGTGAATTACGAGTACTTTTTTTTTTATCGATGCTTACGTAATTTCCCGCGGGATCCGACGCCGCGAATTGCTCGACCGCCGCCGCCGTCGGCGCCTCCTCGTTGTTGTGTATTCGCGGCGACCGGACGCGCGCCAACAAGCTCTCCCTATCGATCGACCTCGTCCTCCGTCGCCGTCCGTGGTTTTAAAGTACTCCACTGGGAGTGCAAAGCGCAGCGGCTCTAAGACTCTCGTACAACAATCGCGATCGGATTTGCGACTTAACGAGAAAGGATACAGACAGAGAAAGAGAGAGAGGAACGCCCGGCCGCAGGACGGAACAAACGTTTCTCCGAGTTTCCTATCGGCCGGGCGAGGACGGTAGAGAACGGCTCTAATCTCCTGGCTCTTTGTGCGTCTAGTCTACGCGTCGAACTTTACGTGCGCGCCAGCGTTTTGTGTCCGTGGACGAGCCATTATTACGAGTCGTCTAACTTACGCTCGTTACCGAGCTATAAAGCAGCCTCTCTCTCTCTCTCTCTCTCTCTCTATCTATTCCTCTATCCCTGCTGCGGTCTGACGTTTATTCCGCGAGGGCGAAGCGGAGGATAAATGCGCCACCCCGACGGTACGATGGACGTCTCTCGGGGGAAGCGATAAAAGATCGCCCATCGTTGCGTTGAAAAGTGGAAAGCGTCGTCGTCGTCGTTAGCCTTCGGTTTAATCCTTCCGGTGCGAGCGACAATGTCGGTCTACGGTTACCAGGCGGTAATTATAGCTCCCCCGCGTCGGCTGCGAGCGAAGGTTGAGAAAAAAGGGTCCTCGCTGCCTGCGATCGATACCGGGGCGCTGCTAACGTTTCTTATCGTTATCTTGATTCTTGAGTGACGCGTTTTTGCCAGGAGAAGGACGCGACGTCGCGTACTCCATGCGAAGATTTACGAGGTGATCCTCTTAAACGGGAAGGAGGTATTTTGTTTTGGTTAATTCCGTATAGCGACCACGACGCGGAGGTGCACCGACGCGCGTTCGAGAGAGATTATCCCGCGCGTAACGTTATCATTAATTTGATGCACGAACGAAAAAGTAATTATTCTAATGCGCCACTTTATCACTGTTTGGAAAGGAGTTCTGTTTTCGGTTGTCTCGCTGATACGGTCGTAAATTTCGCGAGCGACTACACGCCAGCTTCCACGTTTTCCGTGCCGGCTCCGTGTGGTCATTGCGCTATCGCGCGCCGCGACCACCAACGTCTTGTCGCCATAAACTTTTATCGTCCCTCCTCGATCTCCGCGGGAGATGAGTGCCCGAGTGACGTGTCGTGTCGTCGCGTAGACTTTTCCGGTCTCGGGGTGTGCCCCTCGAAAAATTGAAATCCACATATCGGTAACGAGAAGGCGAGAACGATAAGACGTCGTTACGACATCGGTAATCCCGTTATCGACTATCTTGACTGCGGTATTACATCCTCTTAGTCCTCTAGGGCGAGTTCGAATAACGTGTCTTTCAAGAAGACGTTGCTAGGCCTCCGATGATGCATTGAGAGAAAAAAAGTAGTTGAATAAATGAAATTCGGTTTAAACGAACACAATTTTTTCAAGCACAACGTTTAGTCCACTGAACAAATTACATAATTCCTGTAATGAGTTATCAGTTGATTTTCAATGATTGCGATTTGGTCAGCGACTGTGTCAATGTAACATATTGTTGTGACAACGCGTAATTTGTTCAGCGGATGCCACACTTTTTTGAACGAGGGTGACCGCCGATTTTGTAGATCTAATAACTTCTTTTTTCGAAATGTCCGAGACACGTCGCGTTGATCTATTTCAACGGCAGCTTGAAAATTCTTCTCAAGGCCATTTTCTTCGCCACTGAACTTGGATAACCGAAGCCTCTCGACGTCTCGGCCACTTCGAAAATCTTTTCCAGCTCGTGGATAGAGAGAGGGATGGATGTCTTTTCTCAGTGTTCGCGTGAAAAAAAAAAGGGATATAAGATAAACGGTGTTATGAGGTTCTCTCTTCTCTCTCGATAGCGACTAAGGCGCTTGACGCTTCGTCGATCGATTATCGTTATTAGGTTATCGCTAACTAGCGGCTTTGAAGTAAAACCCGTTCGTGCGTCTTTCGCCTTTCACAAAGAATGTCAAGGAACACTTCCACGGCTTTTTTCCAATCGCCGCGCCGCAAACAACGGCATGACGTTAAATGGCGATATCGGCGGCTCCGTTGCATTGATAAACGTTTGTTCGGGCAAAGCAAGCGGCTTCGGATAATGCATCGTCACGTACTGTGAATGGACAAACGTCCATTGAATAGTTAAGATCTTCCTGTGCATTTCCGGTTGGGGAATACATTGCGTTTCGTTGTTTTCGCAGCCTTTGTTGTTTTATCGAGACTAGTCGCTCATTTTTCTCTTTCTCCGTCTCGCACGCTGATCGTTGTCATCGCGTAACGGTATTTCCCAAACCAGAACTGGAATATATCGATCGCGTGTTATCGCGTTTTATCAGTCGAAATCTCTTCGTGATTGTTTCATCTCACGTGGATGGGTGTTCACAGAAAAATATGCTCTTGTATCAATAGAATCCCGAGTTGAAATTTTAATCCTACATTAAGTCTACTTAGTTCTACGCATTAAGTCTTTCATTATGCTTCTTTGATGTTACAAGTGGGAAATTATTGCCGTTTTCTCCATCTGGAGATGTGAAACTAAGTAAATTTACCATAGAATTAAAATTTCGATTCAGGATCGGTCATCAGCGTAATCGGAACAATTCTATTGATATCACAGCACTTTTTTCCATGTAGCTTTACAGGAACGAAGATACTTTCCAACGTATAATGTCTCAGGCAATCTTTCAATCTTTCTTAACTCTTTGCACCCGAGGGCTCCGGAGCGGAGCCATTTAAAATTTGTCTTCAAACTCGAGGGCTCCGCTATGGAGACAATGCAAATAGCAAGAGCGGAATATCCTATACACAATAGTTTTTACGATTTGTCTTTGTCCTTATGTTATGAACTGTAAGTTATTTGCATTGTCTCCATAGCGGAGCCCTCGAGTTTGAAGACAAATTTTAAGTGGCTCCGCTCCGGAGCTCTCGAGTGCAAAGGGTTAAATAGTGATTTGTTATTGAACTTACGAAAATCCTATCGTAGAGATATCGAGCAGACTGCACAATCTCCAATTTGTTTGTACACCAACGCCTGGATGATAAATTTCAGATATCTAAAGATACTTTTATTTGACGATAAGTTATCCCTGTTTGCCTTCGCGGAAGCACGGATCATTGATTCCGCAGGGTGATCCTCACGGCTCTTCGACGTGATATCGCTGTTGTCCGATAATTCCAGTGTCGGCGAGCGAGAGTCACGCTCACGGGCTTCTCTCTTTCTCTCACTCACTCGCTTACTCACTCTCTCGTAAGGGTCCACGACCTCCTTCCGTTTTCGAGACTTGGCATAGTCCGGTCACGTAACGCGTTTCCCGGTTCCCTTTTGCCGAAGGAGCACTCGGGGGATGCGATCGAGTTGCCGAGTGGCTCAGCCGGTAATACTCTACCCCGTGACCTCGTCGTATTGACGAAGGGGATTCGCGAGGCGAGGGTGATGGTGGCGGTCCCTCGTCACGTAACGGGGAATAGTGAGACCGCTAAAAGAATCAGAGTGTGTACCTTCCGACATTGATTTCAATCGAACCTGCTCCCCTACTGTCGCGGAACTGTCGAGCCGATAGTCAGACGAGAGAGATATTGTATAATCACGATATTGGTAGCAGAGTTTTATCAACGCGCGCGCGCGAATCGCTTAGTCGGAAGACCGTCGACACTCCGGGGCCGCCTTGGGCGAGCATCGATCTTGGGGATAAATATATCTACCCCTCTGTCGCTTCCCAACCGGCGAGATGATAATGATGATGTTGTACCCGTGTCGACTGGACTGTCCCATGACCTTCCCACTTGGTCTTCTCTCGGCGGATACACAGCAGCGTGGACCGCGCCGTTTGCGTCATGTAACCGCGGCCAATGTAGACGATCGCGAACTATTCTTAGGGCAATCTCGCGGTAATCGGACGACATTCATTCGGGGGGCAACGAGGCACGACGTGTTCGCCGCCGCCGGCGTACAATCCGATCATCCGCCGGTCGGCTGGTCACAGAGAGCGGCTTTCCCGCTCGTGAAGGGGATAGTTCACCGCGTTAAAGTGTCGGCGAGTGTGTTGTCGGGCGCGCCTTGGTGTTGGTGCGGCCTGAAACGACGGAAGCCTAGCTAGGCGTGGTGCCGTCGACGGCACGTTTCAGTCCGACGTAAACACGAAGCCCAGGTCGGAACTCCAGTGCACCCGGTACCGTGGACGGGAACGGCCGCGCGCGAATTTCACGATCCTCTCTCGTCGTAGTCGTCGTCGCACGACCACGCAGTGGTCGAGCTCTTCGCCGTGATGATCGCGCGAGAAACGCCCCCGCGCTCGTAATCTAATCCGATAAATCGTGGTCGCAGTTCGACGCGGCGACGCCTCGCCGTGAATCCCGAGCGGCAGCTCGGCGGATCGGTCTGCCGCGGATCGCTGTTTCTCGACGCGATTTCTCGGAGTTAAATGGATCGTTGGAATTTTTTCGAGTTAATGTGCTTTCAGCGGCGGTCTGTAGACTTCGGAAGTTGACCGATCGATGGAACGGAGCTCCACGGAGCTGGTAACATTGACCTTGTAAATACACGGCGCGGTGCGATCCTCGACTAATGGATCTCCGAATTTCGCGAACGAGGCGAATTTGTTCCGCAAATAAGCGAACTCTTACGATTCTACGATTAGACGGACGTTTCGAGTAACCAGCGGACTTCTCGAAGTTACCGGCCGTTTCCCCGGGAGAAACTTGATCGTCGGTGCGGCGTTAGTTACTTTCGCAATCCATCGCTCGCCGTTTCGATTAACAACGGAGCCATAACGAGTGTTTAATTATCTGTTTAATTATCAACCACGTCAAAGTGCGCGGGGAATGTAGTTTGTCCATCGGCGATACCGCTCGCTCAATATCAGTTGCCGCTCCGTCTCGCGAAGTAATATACCGAAGCCAGCAGTTAGCGAGGAACGATTCGCTTTCTTAGCCGCTTCGGTTTCCCGATAGCTACATCGGGATTCTCCTTCGGGAAGTTATAAAAGTGCAGTGCGGACGAGATACTGGAAAAATGAGTAAATCGAGTGCGCCGTGATGAGAGCGGCCGCGTCGATTGACACTCCTTCTACGTGACTTAAGGAGAACGTCGCGTGACTTGAGTGTATTAAAGAGAAGAAAAGAGTGGAAACTGCAACGATGCAAAAATTCGGCACGCTCGTTAGTCGATTTACGAATCCGATACGGGTGAAGTTTCGGTTTTGAGTGCGCGTTGAACTCGGCGCGACCATTTGTGAACGCGAAAGAGCGACGTGCTGATTAGATAAGACTACCATAACCATCGAATACAATTATTTATCTCACGCGATAAACGCGAGAAAAATATTGGCGATAACGATCAGTGGGTCGTCAAGGCGCGTTTATTTCTTTTTTATAGCAAAGATGGTACCGTGCGTGTCTCATTAAAATTGTATTTAGTTTGTAAATATATTAAAGTATTTAGACGCTGATAAGATACATCGACGTGACGTCTTGTATGTCAAGGTTCGACGGGAAGACAACGGTGCGTCGAAAAAAACTCGATTGCCGAACATATGACTTTGACTTCTATGAACAGAAAAATTGAACAGAGCGAAATCCGTAACTGGATTTTCGACGACGTTTTCGAGAGATTTGTACAAATATTCTTTAACTTCGAAGATACATACAGGGAGAACGGAGCTTAACGTTGAAGGTGCAATTGGGGAATAAAGTCGGCCGCATATGCACACGTGTATTGCGGGAATTGAATTCGCGGTGGACGACGTCGCGCGCGAATTTGTCAAATCGCCGAGCTTTAAAGTACCATTACGCCGACACGTAATTTCGGTGCAGCCGGGCTTACGGGCTGATGAAAACGATCGCGGACGGGCCGTAATTAAAGAAACATCCTGCCAGCGAGTCGCTGGTATAAATACCCCTGCGGTCGCGCCCAGTGTCCGGTCTGCGGAGGGTGTGTCTTTCATGTGCAGGCTAGTCGGTAACCACGACTCTGAGGGAACGCATTCCGTGTTGTCCCTGGAGGATGTTGTTAACTTCGGGCCGCGTTTTGCCGGCGAAGTAGGGGCAGTCGCGCGCGACACATGTGAACGCGACACGTCTCTTGGCGAGATAAATCTTCCAGATAACAAGCTTACGTGAATACACGGAGGATAATTAGATATCGCAGAATGACATTGAAATTAATCAGTCGGTCGATGATACGCGCCGATGAAGAGTTGTTTACATTATAAATGGTATTTGAGTGCACACAGTCATATTATTAACAGTAATTATTATTAACAAGTGTTAACATTAGTTAATAATTAATACTAATTATTATCCGTAACAGTCATATTGTTAATATATTGTCAGTAATGTGCCTAATGTGCTCTTCGCGATTTCCATCTTTTGTCGCGGAATTTTAAGTCGATTTTCCTTACCTATGTCGCCGAACAGCTTATGAGTTTTAAGCGATCGAGAATGAGCAGCGCACGGAATAGGTAGATTAAACAAAGTTACGGTAAGCTTTGTTGCGAAAGCGCGATCTCGCCCTCTTAATGCGATGCACGGAACGACACGCGAAAGTTTGGTAATACCATCCCTCGCATAGACTTGCAAGCCACGACAGCCGATCGCACGGGCCGTGTTGATAACTTCGCGTCGAAAGTCTCGTGGTGACACTCGTGGGAATCTATGAGAAATCTGTGTTGTGTTTGTGGAATTGTCTGTGAGATGGCACAAAACGGTGAGTAACAGCGCGACGCGTTATCCATTCGGTCGCAGTTGCTCGCGTGGATCTTCTCTCGATTCTTCCGCACTTGGCACGATGAGCCTCTGGCGATTTGGACCTTTCAAGGATGGTACGTTCATTACTGGCATGTAACTCCGTTCTTTTTACTCTCTTTCTCCCTCCCTATATACACAGTGTCTGGACCCAGGTGTCGGAACGTTCATGTCCAGGTAGAACTCGTTAAATTGAGTAGAAAAATTACCTGCGTACGAACGTCCAGACATCTTATATATCTTTGGTTATTCTACACGGAAAGAAAATTAGCATAAAAATTCAAGATTTATATTCTCATATATAAGCGAGAGCATCGTGAGAACATGAGTCTCGAGTTGATATCAATTTTTTTTCTGTGTAAGTGCCAATGTTTTTTCTAAATTTCGTTTCACAGCGTGCTGTCTCACTCGCACGGCAATTTGTACGATGAAGCATTCGCGCGGTGATATCTCTGTGGAAAATCAACGATCTCCATTGCTAAAAAAAATAAGCAGAGTGTCGAGTCGAAAATATACTTCTCGTGGTATATTACCCGAGAATAGAGAGCGCGGAATTTATTGCGCTTATCTAAACATGCGTTCAGCGTCGCGCGTACGCTCTCCGATGAGCGGGAAAAATCGATCCTCGGCGTTATACGTGCGAGCGTAGGGATGAACGCTTTTCTGTCGACAACGGACGACAAAGCTTGCGTGTGCGATGGAATTTATTATCGCTGCTGCATACGCGTGCGCGATTACGAAGGTAGCGTCTGTTGCTCTTCGTCGAGCCTTCGAGAAAATCTTCTCACCGCCAAGCCGCTATAGTAGAAGGAAAAGGATGAAGAGAGATCGCAACTTTCGTGGGACGACGAGATATTTGCATTTGCATAATAAAGTTAAAGAACTTAGACGATTGTGCCGGCACATCCGACGGTTGCTATAAATGGCGGCTAAATCTCGGAGCTTTATCTGTATGTCGGCGCACGATACAGAAAGAAAATTATCTCTCACTCGGAAAACTCCGTCGGTGAGCCGTGTTCTCTTTTCTCAGTCTCAACAATGAGGATTTTTATCGTGATTTATCGTCGGTTTACGGCGGTTCGTAGAACCGAATGACGAGAGTTCTTGGCGAAAAGGTGTGTTTAGTACATTTACAATAAATCGACTGTCGTGAATTGCTCTTTCAACACGATTAATTAAATTTAAACTTCTTTTGTTTCTCCAAATTAACTCGTCGACAGTATTTTCTGTCGTCGGAGAGCGAAATTAATGCCCGTGTCAGTTTTTAATATTATCTCGAGCGACTTTTTCTATAACATTCGCAGTTTTTCTTTGCGATGGAACATTTAACGTCGAAGTGCCGATATTAATTATATTGATTTTGTTTTATTCGCATATCCGACGAAAAAGTTAAACATATAATGTGTAACATATTACGTGGGAAGAAATTATGATTTGCAACTTTGAGTAATTAGCTGTATGCTTTGTCGAGATAAATCACGTATATTTCGGCACAGTTTCCGAAACATTTCCGAGCGGAGCGTTTCATCTAAATAAAGAGTCTCTCTTCCACGTGGACTTGGCAACGAATGACAATGGGCATTTAGGTCATCGATTGCTCTCGGAGGACGTGGTGTCCTTTTACGAGCTTCTCGAGATCTTGCGGATAAACCTCGTGTAATTTGTCAGCCTTTCGACGGTGCAATCAACACTGTTGTCGCAGTAATTGTTTCCTCTGCTGGATGGACACAGTCGAACGAGTAACCATATAACATACAACATAAAAGTATTATAAAGTATAATACAATCAAAGTCTTTTATAAAGTCTGTCGAAGCTATGAAATTTTCCACGCGGACTAATAAAGTTCTTCATTTCAACAATAGCCGGAGCGGCACACGGCGGGCGATTCGATGTAACGAATTTTTAACTCGACAAACTCGATTTAAACCTCCGAACGACCGAGTACGCTGTAATCAGGTTACACCGTAGCGATAAAAAGGCAACGATGTCACTTTAGCGATATTCGTACAGTTTACTCCAGTTCGAAACTGAAAATTCGCGCTGATCATTTGCGCGAAATATCCGCGAAACAGATTCCTCCCGTAGCATTGGTTCTTCATCAAAATTTTACTTTTAGTTTATAAAATATTAGAAATAAAAATTAAAAATACCACGCTAATCTCAAGATACGCGTATAAAAAGTGTCAACTTTAATTACAAATATCTCAGCTCTCGAATGGTCAATCCTTTTCTAATTGTACGAGCAATGAGGTGATATTTCGATATATATGCAATGCGAGAGAGTTTCATTGAATTCTTATCAAACTCATTTCATCTTACAGCCTTCTTTAAAGTTGAATAACTTTCGATCCAGGCTCTGAATTACTGTCAAACTTTTGGTGCCACTTTTAAATGCAATACGGATCAATTTGCAACTTTTTCATAATTTCCTCATTATTTAATTTATGCCCCATACATTCTTAAGTATCTGGATATCTCGAACATTCGTTTGTTCGTTCTTTCGCTCGCATCGATGCAACGTGTATACGCATTCGGCCCGATGATACACCGATGCCTGATTTAACGCGGGGTTTCGTGTCTCGTGACGGAAATCCACCGAAATAGACGTCGCGATAAATATTTCCAGCGGCGCGGTTCCCGGCCACACCGCGGGATTCTGTTGCTTCTCGACGAGGCGTTTTATTTCATCGGGACACTGCGCCGCCGTCGGTGCGGCGTGCTGATGTTGAAAGAAGCCACACTGGGGGAAGGATTGAGCCTTTTGCGTTCGAGAGCATCCCCGGAGATCCGCTGACGTCGCGACGTCTCATTGTTATGTAACCGCTGTCGCACCTCGCGGAAAAGCGCGCTCTCGTCGCCTCTCGGCACCTGACGATATTGAGCCCCCCTCCTCTCTCATCCTCTCTCTCTCTCTCTCTCTCTCTCTCTCTTGCTTTCTCTATCTCTTCACTAAGGTACGCGACCTCGCGATTTCGTCGCATCGAGCATCTTTCGTCGACCCGTTGCTCCTCTCCCGTCTCGCTATCGTGATCGTTTTCGCGAGAGTGAGACGTACCATGACGAAAAAACGCGCGCATACAAATCAGATGTACGAACGCTACGCGGAAGTCGAGCACTCACCGAGCGAAAACCTAGACGATGTTTGTCGCCTAAAGTGCCACTCTCGAGAGTTCTTCACGACTGCGGATACGACGCGCACATTGTTGCGGGCGGATCTTTGCCTTTTCAACTCTTCGCCCGGCAGACTGTCACGGTGATTCATGTCTCCCTGTTTGTATATGAGATTTGGCCGCGGTGGGAATTTAGAGAATACAGCGGCGTTTTTTCGAGATACCGCTTGTCGTTCTCGTCCGTATGCGCGGCCCTTCGCTGAACGTCGCGTGGGGTGACTGCGATTTTTATGAAACGGGAAATTGTGATATTCAGTAACCCCTGCGTTTTGTGAATAATGTTATGTCGGAATATTCGTGCCTTAAGCGATTGTTAAATATTAAATGGCACCCTCGAGTTACGTTTATTTATACACAGTGAAATACATTTTGTACTTGTGTTAAAATCGGCTCTTGTTGAAATTTGTGCGTTAAATTTTTAGCATACCCGAGTGTGTTAATTTAATATATTGTGTTTATTTTATTTCAACATTTTGTGTTATATTGATATTCAACATATGTAAGTGTTAAAATAACTTGTGTTTTAGTATCGATTAACGTATTAATTTTGTGTTAATTTTTGATATAATATTTATGTTAGTTTTCATTATTTAATTCACCTTGTGTTAAATCAACCGAAAAACTTGAATAAACCCTTTTGGGAGCTGTGAAAAATGTGTTAAATTTAACATACAATTTTTTACTGGGTAATCACGCGCGAGAAAATGCACGCGATTTTTGTGAAACAGGAAATAATGCCTCCCAGTGATTTTTACATTTTGTGAATAATATTCAAACACGCGGATCATATTCATACTTGGTTCAAATATTAAATATTAGAATATTAAATTAAATATTAAAATTGGTTGAAATATTAAATACTTTAATTACATTTATTTAATTACACGCGAAAGAATGCGGCTGTTGATATAGTGCTTAGAATTATCTCTTCGTATATCGATGCGTAAACGAGAGTCGTGTCTTGGCGAGAATTTGGCACTTTGCTTACCAAGCTATTCAGCATCGCCGGACCTTCGGTCACGGTTACGGCCATTGGGTGAAATTTATGTTGCAGAGAGGTCGGCTCCCATTTTTTGGAGGCTCTTTCGGACGATTTAACGAGCAACGTTAACCCCGCGCACATAAATTTCTCATAACCCCGATTCCGCGTAGATACCACCCATCGATCCCGTCGTCGTCATTTATCAGAATTTTCAGCGACCGGCGTTTTGTCCCGGCGTATGTCCCCGGTGCTGTAAAAGCCACGTCTCCGAGAGGACACGTCGCGCTCATATCGCCGCTCGCGTGATCCCATTTTCGGCCACGTGACCTGCGGCAGCGGGACATCGCACCATTGTCGCGCCCTTTTGCCGCGTTTTATCGGAGCGAACCGAGCTCTCCGTTATCGAACGATAGGTGTCCAGAGAAAAATAAGGCCGACGTCCGCCAGCCGGGCTACTTAGGTCCCTCACTGTTCTTCTCGCGTCTCACCTCCGTCATATTTCCACGTTGTTCACTGATCGCGAAAGTTTTGTCGGCGCGGCCGGATGGGAAGCGATCGCGGATGAAAGCCGCGAAGAGGGACGCGCGGTAAAGGCGGCGCAGCGCGGACGAGAGCGAAAAAACGCCACGGTTATTGAATAAGGCAAGAAATATTGCACGAACGCGACGTCGAAAAACTCAAAAAGCTACCACCACCTTCCTCGTCTTCGTCGTCGGCAACGACGGGTGTCGATTGGCTTTGTCTCGCTTCTTCTCATGAGGCAGGTCGCCGACGCGCCGCGTCGTTCATCGATTTTTCCAACTCCGAGCGCTCTCTCGACACAGCGGCGATAATATGTCGCAAACTCGCGCGGAGTGCGCGCGCGGAAATTGGTAAACAGACCTCGCGGAAATCGGCCGGCCGCTCTCGAGGAACCGACGATTG